GCTTTCTCTCTTTTATTCCAGTGGTTAGCTAGTATTTTCTTTTCATTGATCTTTTTCAAAGAATGAGCCTTTTGATTCATTTATACTACTTTTTTGTTTGTAACTCATTAAATCTGCCTTTATTAAATTCCTTATTTCTGCTTTCTACTATAGTTCTTTTGTAACTTTTTGAGTCATGTGCTAAAATTAATTTTTCATTCTTTTTTTTTGTGCTTTAGGTGAAAGTTTACAGAGCAAATTAGTTTCTCATTAATACAAAATTGTTTTGTGACATTGGTTGCCTCATTCTTTGATTTTTATTGATAAATTCAAGGTTATTAATTTTCCTCTTGGTATTCTTTGGCTTTATGCCATAGATTCTGTTATGTAGTATTTTTGTTATTTTGTTTTCTAGGAATTCTGCAATTTTATTTTGTATTTCCCCTTGGATTCAAGAGTTGTTATTAGTTAAAATTTCTTCATCAGAGAATCTTTTTGTTTTCTAATTTTGTTATTAACATTTTTTATTATTTTTTTTAAGAGAATGTTTTCTATATTAACTTTTGGAATTTGTTGAGATTTTCTTTGTGGCTCAGTATGTCGTCAATTTTCATGAATGAGCTTTTGAAAAGAAGGTGTATCTTCTGAGGGTACAGAGTTTAATACATAATTGGAAGACACTATTCATTATACTGTTTTACTTTTCCACTCTTATTTTTCATGCATTCCTGTATATTTCTCCTTTTTTAAAATTCAGTAGCTTTTACTTTATGAAAGTGGATGCTGTATTATTGGTACATAGATATTAATAACTTAAACGCTTAGCCTTATGAAGTACCCTTTGTCTCAGAGATTTTTGTCTAGAATTCTATGTTGTCTTATACTGAAACTATGTCCCGGATCTTTTTGTTTTCCAATTATACCTTTGCCCACGTTTTTATATTTAACTTTTCTGAATCATTTTGTTTTAGGTATGTATATTAGAATATAGCATAGAATTGGGTTTTGCTTTGTGATTCGGCCTGAAAATATTTAAGCAAGCTAAGCTTATTTACATTTATTGATATGACATATATCTGCTTTCAGCTATGTCATATTGTTTTATTCTATTTTAAGTCTCATACGATGTGGTCTGTTTTCTGTTCTCTTGTTTTGTTACTTCTGCTGTTTAGGAATGTATTTTTGTTAGAATGGATTACAGCCAAGAAAACCCTATGGAGCAGTTCTACTCTGTAACACATAGGGTTGCCATGAGTTGGAATCAAATTAAACGCAGCAGGTTTGGGTTTTGTTTTGTTTTGTCTTTATCTTTTTATACGCCCTTGGTCCTCCTTTCTTGCTTTGGTTCCCTGCTATGATAAACAATAAAATTAGCTTGTAATCTCTTCCTCCTTATCTCCTTCTCCTCTACCACTCAATTATATTTAATAATGTAACCATATTTCATTATATCTAGAGTGTCTCTGTGTACCACTTAGGTAAAAAAAAAAATGCCACCAATTAAACTATCAACTGATCAGACACATTCTGATTGCAGAGATGTTAAAAAATATATGTTTTAAAATCAATAAAACAATATCTTTTTTATTTACCATTGTACTCTTAAATATGCTGAAGTTACTTCTTGGTTTATTAACTCTAAATGGCATTTTTAACTTTCAGCAATATATGAGTCAGCTTTTTCTAACTTATTCCTTCTCTTCCCTCTTCTTCCTTTTTACAAAGTTTCTCCAGTCGTCTCTTGGTTGGCTGAAGCTCATTCTCTAGTACAATCCTCAGGAGAATTTATGGCAACAGTATATCCTGATTTCTTGCATGTTCAAAACTGTAGCCTTTATATTTGAAGCACAGCTTGGCTGGATATAAAAATCCTTGTTTTTATTTTTTTCCCTTGAATATCTTATGGATGTTTTTCTACTGATTAATGATGTTGAATGTTACCATGCTAACCTGATTTTCTTTTTCTTCTAAGTGAATCCAAATTTTAGTTGGATAGGTCTCATGTTGACAATTCTAGGTAATTTCCCCCAGGTACACAATATGTCTTTTCAATTCACATCTTTTATTTTAGGAAAGACTTACCATAGTTGAGATTTTTGTTGTTGGTGGTTTTGTTTTAAGAATCTCAAACTTACAGAAAAGTTACAAGAACAATACAAAATTCTTTTTCCCCTGAAGCATTTGAGAGTAAGTTGCCAACATGAGAGGAGCCCTGGTGGTGCAGTGGTTAAAGCACCCTGCTGCTAATTGAAAGACTGGTGATTCAAACCTTCCAGCTGCTCTGCAGGAGAAGGATGTGCAGTCTGCTTCCATAAAGATTGACAGCCTTGGAAACCCCGTGGGGCAGTTCTACTCTGAATACCTCATCATCCCTCATTAAGTCTGTATGCATTTCCTATAAATAATAACAGTACAGGATTAGTTTGTAATCTCTTCCTCTTTATCTCAGAATCAGAAAATTAACTGATAGATTATTACCATCTAATCCTCAGTCCCCCATTCAGGTTTATTAGCTGTCGCAGTAATGTCCTTATAGGAAAAGGATCCAGTCCACGATTATGCATTGTATTTCCTTGTAATGTCATTTTAGTCTCATTCAATCTGAAATAGTTGTTTTATTTTGACTTTCATGACCTTGACACTTTTGAAGAATATAGGCCTGAATTTTTTTGAATGTCCCTCAAGTTAGTTTCATGTGATATTTTGTCATGATTAGATTCAGGTTATTCATCTTTGGCAGGAATGTCACAGAAGGGATATTGTGTTCTCATGGCATCCTATCAGGTGACATGTGATTTCAGTTTGTCCCACTACTGATGGTGGTCACTTTGATTACTTGATTAAGGTGGTATCTGCCAGGCTTCTACGCTTTAGAGTTACTCCTTTCCTTTTGTAATTAATAAGTATTTTGTAGAAAAGTACATAAACATCCCATTCCTCATCGGACTTTTAATTTATTCATTTACATGTTTAGATCAGTATGGACTCATGGATTCCTATTTTATTCAATTCATTATAATCTGTTACTATAATTATTGTGGTGCTTAAATATTTCCAGGTTTAGCCAGTAGGAGCCTCTTCAAGCTGGTTCTTGTGTGTGTTTTTTTTTTTTTTTTTTTTTTTAACAGATTTCCATCATTCTTTGAGCACTTTTACTTCTGGCTCAACAAGATATCCCAGGCTTATCTTGTCCTTTCCACCCTGGAATTAGCCACATCTCCAAGGAGCCCTGGTTCCTTTGAGAGATGAATGGTATTTGGAAACCAAGATCTGGGCACTAGTCATGCTCATTGCTTCTAGCTTTCTAAGTGGAAAACCAAACCCAACCCACTGCGGTTGAGTTGATTCTGACTCACAGTGACCTTACAGGACAGAGTAGAACTGCCCCATAGGGTTTCCAAGGCTGTAAATCTTTACGGAAGCAGACTGCCACATCTTTCTCCTGCTGAGCAGCTGGTGGGTTTGAACCAGTTAGCAGCTGAGCACTTAACCACTGTGCCACCAGGGCTCCTCCCTCTCAGTGGGCAGGGCTAGAAAACAAAAATGTATGTATGTGTGTGTGTGTGTGTGTATATATATATATATGTATACACACATACGTACACACATATATACAGACACATACATCTACATTTATTAATTTTCTACCTACCTACCAAGCTACCTATTTCCCTACTTAATTACCTATCTCATCTATCTATCTACCTCCCTACCTATCTGTCTTAAAAACTATGACTGACACCTGCAATTCTAGTCCAATACCACAAGGTTCATTTTAACCTTCAATCTTTCCATTTTTATAACTCCCTTATTTGACAATGAGAAACCTTGCTCTAATATATTTACTTGCTTCTTATTCCAATCTCCCAACCTTACCTGGCCTCTTCCTGGCCAGGAGTACAGCAGTGTTCTACTTTTTTATTTGGGTGGTAGCGGTATGTGGGTGTTTACTTTGTAATTATTTTTTTAAACTCCACATAAATATATTTTTAAATTTTTTGTTGAATATATGTTATAGTCACAATTTTTTAATTATAAAAAATAAAAACATTAAAGTAATTCATCACAATGGGTTACAAGAGAAAAATTATATGGTCATCTCAATACAGTATACTCGCTATAACCCAGTGTGATAACTTCACAGTGAGTGTTCACCTATAGGACCAGGGTATCTGGTTGAGAGTATGAAGTGCAATTAATTACTTTTGTGTATGGCCTTTCTAGCTGTGGTCTTGTAACTCCCACCAAGGCAATTGTGTGATAGGGTAATAGGGTAAATGTGGCCTACCAAGGGGATTGGTCAGTTTTGCCTTAAAAGAGAGCCAATTCCAGAGCAGAGAGGAGGAGCCCACCACCAAGGAAGGAGAGACCAGCCGCAGAGACCCAGCAGCAGGAGATGGCGTGGTGGGCTTCCTGGCCCATGGAAAGAGAAAGTTGAGTGCTTTTGGGCAGAGGCCAAGGGCCAAGGAGAGACATGCCTGTGAGCACAGCTGGGGAGAGGCTGTCCTGATTAAAGAACTGTATCCTGAGTGTTCCTGAGCCTGAATTGTAACTGTTATTTCCCTTATAATAAACCCCATAATCGTGAGTATGGTCTTTGAGTCCTGTGTGGCTATTGCAGTGAATTATTGAACACAGCAGAGAAGTACAGAGTGCTCTGTGAAGGATGGTTGGTGTCAGAATTTGTAAAGATGGTGGAGAGAGGATGCTTGTCTGGCCTCTGCCTTGTGGAAGTCAGCCTTGCACTGTAGATTTTGGTTCTCCTCCTCCCTTGTGGGGTTGGAGGAGGTCAGACACTGCCCCCACGCTGTTTTTACAAGGTACCAATAGGAGAGAGAGCATCTGGAATCCAAGTAGTTTGTCATAAATGAGAAAGGATCTAGACATTGGGAGATTTATTTAGGTGCCGGGGCCAGTATGCTCTGAAAAAAGCAAATCTTTCAATTCTTAATCAGGACTTTTTTGTAAGCATACTAATAATAAAGCCACTGCTTGTGTTTATGAAAAAATAAAAATCTTACATTTTCATCAAAGCCTTCTCTTCTGGCTTGTTCAACCAAATCTCTGCTTCTTTTCCTATTGAGAATACAAAAAATTCAGAGGCATATGACAGTAAAAAGTTATTTCTGATAATAAATGTTAATTATTTGGAAAATGTGATCATTAATAAAAGAGTATTGCCTGTAGGAAGTATTTATATTATATCCCACTGCCAGAGGTCTGAGTTTGGGAAGCATTTTGACACTGAAATGATTCAATAAATATGTATATCCATAAGTATAATGTATAAAAATGTTTTTGATAGTTAAATAAATGTACTAATGTAGACTGAAGTGCTTCCTACCTTTTTAAGTTACTTTACTTTGTGAGGAAATCCTGATGGTGTAGTGGTTAAGTGCTATGGCTGCTAACCAAAAGGTCAGCAATTCAAATCTGCCAGGCGCTTTTTGGAAACTGTGGGGCAGTTCTACTCTGTCCTATAGAGTCTCTATGAGTCGGAATCGACTTGATGGCAACGGGTTTGGTTTGCTTTTTGGTTACTTTGTGATGGAGCCCTAGTGGCGCAGTGGTTAAGAGCTTGGCTGTTAACCAGAAGGTTGGCAGTTTGAATCCACCAGCCACTGCTTGGAAACCCTATGGGGCGTTCTACTCTGTCCTATAGGGTCGCTATGAGCCAGAATCAACTCGACGGCAATGGGTTACTTTGTGATACTCTCCCTCCAGCTTTCTCTTAAAACTATTTCTGAGTAGCATGGCATGCATTATATTAACAATTTTAAATTACTTTAGAGTTTCATGACACCTTTGGAAAGTAGAAAGCACTGGATATATTGACAACATATTTAGAATCATCAATCTATGACATTGGATGGTGGTTGTTTTACACTCAGAACCTCATTCCATGGTGTTTCTTGTGTAATATAGAACTTTAACCTGGTGAGTTAAAAATTTAAAGAAAAGTCATCTTACATTTCCCTGTCTTCATCCTTTTGGTCTTTCTTCAGTTTAAGTTTCTCAAGAGCATTTTTGTAACTCTGAATGTAATAAAAATAGTTTGAAAATTTATCAAAAATACATCCTGTATTGTTAGTTTCTGATCAAGATAAAGGAAATATGGAATGCCTGTCTGTAGGGACTGCTACCCTAAAGAAATGTGAAGGCAAAATGCTATGGTTATCCTGGTTATCATTTCTGCCTGCCGGTGAAAAAGGAACGGCAGTTCTCTTGGGGGCATCACACTTGAGCTTTAAAAAAATAAAAATATTTAAAAAGTATTGTTTCTTAACATTTACTGCATTAAAGATGTTAACATTTTAAAAGCACATAGCCAACATAATCATGAGATAAATGATTAAAAAACAAAACACTCATTGGGGGACATCTTAATAGTTTCCTTTTACAGATAAGTTGTTGGACAAAGTTCTTAAAGCCCATCTAAAGCCTCAGCTACTAGGACTTTTTCTATGAGAAGTGCTATGTGTAGAGCCATGGAGTATACAGAGATGGGCAAGATGGAAGAAGAGATGAGACATGTACATGAATGACTCAGCTACAACTCAAAGTGAGGTAGGTGTCCAGAGGAGGACAGGACAGATTCCACTCTGTCAGGGAGACTAGGATGTCAGCAAGAGAGGAGAGAGCTATGGGAATATTCCGGGGAGGAGGGAATGGCATGAGCAGCTGGGATATATAGTGTTGTAAATGGAAGCAAAGAAGGGAGAAATACTATATATAGTTAAATGATAGTTAATAAAGATAGGTTGGGACTGTGAGACGTAAAGAATTTGGGACTTATTTTGACAGGCCCAGGGGAAACTTAAGATTTTTGAGCAGGGAAGTGATGTGATCAGAGCTGAACTGGCATGGGGAAGAGGCTAGAATAGTTAAGAAGGTGTTAACTATACAGAAGGCTGGGTAATAATCTAGCAGTTAGAATTCAAATCCCACAAATGTGAGCAAAACTATAGAGACATACTTTACACACAAGCCTTCATAACAGACTGTATAAGGAACAAGGGAAAAAAAAGTCATCCTAAGGTTTTTGAGCCAGAGGTGACTAAGAGAATAGTGTTGCCTTTAGCAGGAATGTAAGGAAGAGGAGGCACACTGAGCTCTGAGTTTAGATTATTACAGAAATTTACGAGCATCTAAATTGAAAGCTTTTAAAGAATTTTTTTTATAACACCTAACATGTTGCTTTGCACTTAGTAAATAGCTCAATTACTGTTTGATATATTGAACTCAGAAATAATTTTGGCTACATTTTTAAAGCCAGAGAGCATATCTCACTTCCCTAGTAGTGAAATAATGCAAATAACACTGGAAAAAATATCATTTGGGGTTGAAGTGTTACTCAAACTACAATCATGTAAATTGAACTAAAATTGTCTTATAATTCCAATTCATAAATGTTTGACTTACCTTTTTAATCATTTTACCAAGTTCAAAATCTGGCCTTCTGGCTATTGAATAGTCAGCCTTCACTTCAGAATAGGTATCATTAATTATTGCCAAGAACATGTTCTGGGGAAAAATATTCAAATAATTATTCCAATAAAAATTTAGTTTAAATGTAACTTTGACAACTGCTGGGATTTGTAAAATTAGATTTAAATTTTAAAAGTAACTCATATGCTTAATAACAGGGAAATGACAATATAGGCTACCATATGGTAGAATGGAAAATGTGTAGTGTGTGGATGGATATGGCAAATATGTTTGTCGTAAACGAGAAAAGCAGAATGTAAAATAGTGTATATGAGCTGGTTACTAATACATAAATTAATTTATCAACATTATACATCAGAATAGAACTTAGAAATAATGTAATCATATGTTCACAGGGCTGTTTCTTTTAGTTCTAGAAAGCTGTATAATTTGCATTTGTACTACCACTCCTACAACTACTAATACCCAGAAAACACAAAATCGTGGAGAGTGGAGAGGGTAGTCTCACATCGAGTCCACTTTTCCCTGTAGCCCAGCTTTGTTACTCTGAGGGCTCTGGGCCACCTCCAGGGGATAACTGCTGTGCATGACAAAACATGTTTTCATGAAGCACAGTAGCAGTGCCTTAACTAGGCACTAAATAGTCTTGTCCTGAGCACATGTGAGATACCCATCCTAGATTCCTAGAAATCATAAAGGGTGAGCTTTCAGCCAGAAAGAGCCAAAAGCGATTGCAATATGGGCAGAATATTAATGATCTAATTATACCTACAGGCTGGAGAGACCTGGGACACTCCAGTTATATGTGTAAAGGATTTAGCACATTCCTGGCACACTAAATAAACACCCAGATGTTAACTATTGTGATCACATTCTCCATTGGGCAACTTGGAAACATGAGACACTGGACTAGAGAACCTGGATTAGTAGGAATCCACACCACTCTTAATAAATTGAAAGTGTTCTTACAGCTAAGCAGTGGTATTATAATTTCTTCTCGATGAGTAATTTCATTTTTTATTCTAAGAAGTGTAAGCAAAATAATCAGAGGATGCAGATATGGTCATTCTTACCAACAGGACAAAGAACACAAAAAAGATGAAAGTGATGAAATAAATAGGTCCCAAGATCCGATTGGCTTGCTGAATACCAGCAAAATTAAAATCTCCAAGAACAATTCGAAACTGTGCAAATCTTTGATGGGAAGAAAGAAAAGCATTAGAAAAAATTCTATTTCTTCGTATCATACCTGGCTTCTGATGGAAAGTCTCTAAGAAAGTCTATCTAGCTGCATATGGCATATGTTCTCTGGCTTTAGTTAAGTTACTATAGAGTTCTATAAAACAGGATATAGAAAATTCCCCTAAAGGCAAGACTTGAAGTACTCTGTAGCTGAACAGGTAGTCCAGGAAATTATGGGTTTCAATTTACTTAACCAGTATGAACCCTATGTTCACCAACAAGATTTGAACCTTAAGGTATCTGTTTACCAGCTGGTCTTGGCAATGGCCTTCTTGTTTCATTCTTGTACCCTTCTAAGACTTAGAATACTTTGTCCAACAACTGTTTTTCAATTGTACTAGATGCAGGAGCCGTAAACATTTTAATGTCAAGGATGTTTTTAATTTTTGTTTTAACCATCTCTTAACTTCTGCTAATATAAAGATGCCAACAATTTGTCACTAACTAGTCTCAAATAAGTGGTGACAATGATCCCAGAAACGTAGTTCTGAGGTTTATTCTCTTTAATAACTATAAAAGCTTGGTTTTGATGTGAAATGGCATTTAAAATATTATAAATCTTTATTTTTCAAATTTTAGAGATGGAAAATTAAGAAATTACGTTAATGTCCTTGTATTATTTAGTGTAGCAGTAGCAGAGGTAGGATTAGGATTTTACCTGAAATCTCATTTTTCTCATCGTTAATTTGCAGTGGCATTACCAGACACATCAAGGATATCAGGTATGAGTTATGTGTGTGAGTTCTTTATTTTAAGGGGGAACCTGGGAAAGAATTTGTAATAATATGCTGATACTCTGCATGACTGATCAGTCAGTCAGTCAAAAAAGGAGAAAGTTTCTTGTTCTCATGTTGCTTTTGGCAATCACAAAGGGGGCATAGGCTATCTACATTGAAGGAAGTATTTAAGAAAATAGACTATTTGGTCCTAGGACTCAGAGCTGTCTGGAATTTCATCCCTAGGACCTGCCTGATACATGACTAAATCATACTTAAACGAAAGTACTTATCCTGCTTTCAGTACTGGTTTGTAATGCTCTTCTACAAAAGATAGAGAAATGCTCAACTGGAAGGAGACAAGTTTCACCACAACTCAAATAATTTTTCCTCTCTGGCACAGGAGAAAAAGAGATTATGTTTTAATGCTTCTAACATGATCTTTTATCCTTGAGTTGTGTTTATAAAAGAAAAGGTAAGTTAAAGGCATTGTTTTCTCATCCTTTTCTCCTCTCCAGAAATTATCTCATTAATTTATGCTTCCATTTAGCCCTTTTCTATCAGGAAAGTGTTCAGCTACCTTTTCTCTCTAAATAATAATAACAAAAACCTAAGCAATTTACTGAATGTTATAATCACATAGGAGAGGGGGATTCCAAATATAATATAATTAGGAATGTCCCCCCTTTCTTCTCCTAATTGGAGCTTAGTTTATCCAAACTACTTTTTAACTGCAAACTGAGAGGAGTACTATGAGCCCTTAACATAGAAAGTTACATCAAATGAAAATGCTGTTTTGTAACTTCTTGAGACTTCTGCTAACTTTTTAGCGTTCTCCCTTACTGAAATAAATCTGTCTCATAATGTACTATTTGTGGTTAATATGACTTTTCAGTCTTTCTCTTGGAGGCATTGCCTGGATGGTAACTATTCCAAAGCATACTCCAACTATTACTTCTGTTCTGTTCCATTCTGTCATCTTCTTCTTCTTTTTAATTGTTGTAATTAAACGAAGTTTACATTTCAAGTTAGTTTCCCATACAGAATTTTTTTTTTTACATACATTGTTATGTGACCCCCAACTGCTCACCCCATTCTGCAACAGCACACTCCTCCCCTCCGCCCCTGATTCCCCATGAACATTCAATCAGCTCCTAACTCTTTCTGCATTCCCATCTCACCTCTGGACAGAAGCTGTCCCCTTAGTCTCTTGTATCTACTTGAGTAAGAGGCACAATCTTCACAAGTATCACTTTATGTCCCACAGTCCAGTCCAATCCCTGTCTGAAGAGTTGGCCTCGGAAATTGTTTTAGTTCTGGGGTGATAGAGAGTCCAGGGGCCATG